CTCAAGGTTTTCTTAATCCATGTTATTCTAACAAAATATGTAAGACTTTAGAACCATACATGGTATGCTTTTATATTAAAATGAAGATAACATTTGTGTTTACTAAGAACTAGTGGGAACGATAATAATATTCCTAATCTTGTATGAACAAGACATATTAATCATGAGAAACTACATTCTGACTATGAAAGGCCCTTTCACCTTGACATGGAAAGTGTTTCTAAGATAAAAAACTAAGGAAAAACAAGATACATTCTTGGAAAAGTAAAATCTACGGAGATAGATAAAGATGAATGTTAAAGTTTTAAATTCTTATGCATATGTTGACAATATCTTGAAATATATCAAGATACAAGATTCCTTTGGAGGACTCTTAGAATTGCCACATGACATCATTTTGAGCCTAGCTCAAAAGTACCTAGCACATAGGTTTGAGCTAGATAAAATGATTAATATTCTATTTGCTTGGCAAATGAATCTATCATTTATGTCATATTATACAGAAGACCATGTATATGATTATGCTATGAACATATCATAAGATACCAATTGGATACATGGGTAAGTTATTGGATGACTATAAGGACATTCTAAGAGTACTTAAGAAGAATTGGGAGAATATAAATGAGATAATCAATTTTGAAGAATGTCTTTATGTAAAGAGATACATAAGATGTTGAAAAAGATAGATGTAATTATGAATTATAACTGGATTATGACTTCATTATGGAATTAAGAGTAAGTTTTGTTGGAATGAGATCCAAGAAAAACAAAATAGCACAGTCTACAACAAAATCAAAATACATTACTTTAGAAAGTGAAGTCAAATATGATTGGATGAATGAGTTCATTGAAAAACTATGTTGAGTCCTACCATTCAATGATCACATAGAAATATTTTGTGACTTCAAGAGTATACTTAATCAAGATAAGTGACTATAAATCACATTATAACACCAATCATATCCTCCAAGATATTTAACTATACTTACCATAAAGTTAAATATGGAGATTGATCGTATCTGCATAATTCAAACAAATTAAATTTAGACAGGCCCATTAATAAAGTATTTCCTTAAGCCAAGTATGAATGATCACACTCTAGAAATGAAATTTGATTTGGATTTAGTATTTGTATATTGGAAGATTGTAACAACAACTATTATATATTGTTTTGATATATTGGGATATGTTCTTCACAAGAATACTTGTTGTGTTCTATATTAACATGTTTAATCCATGAATAATTCCATTATTCTAAAAGTTCATAGTCAGTTATAATTGTGGGAGGATTATGAAGTAAGGCTAATATGAATTGGATTGGTTGACTCTCATTAGATGAAAGTAGGCAAATGGTTGTAACCAATATTCATAGGTACTTGTCAAAGAACTGGTATTGAACAGACCCGTATCGAGATCATCTCATAGATAGTAGTTATGAGTGATACTTGATTAAAATGTACTATATTTGTATCCTTAGCACCTGAGATACATAATGGGACTTAAGTGTAGGAAGTGTGGTGCTTTGATATGGTCAAATGTTGATCCTTAACCGGGAAGTTATAAAAGCCATTTCTAGGTATGGTGTGAACTATGCAATATGCTTATATAGTCAATATGGTATTTTTTTCCTCTTATGTGTTGAGAGTTAGGCATCTGCCGCGGTACCCAAAGTTGAACACCAAATGAGAATGATTGTGATCCAAGTCTCATGTTCAATAGGATATCTGTAACAAATGGATAATTGATAAACTCACCTTATAAATCAATTGTAGCTTTGAGATTTTGGGAATTGGATTTTGAGGAATAGCATTCTTCGTTATGTGTTATTGGAAGCAATGAAATGTTGCTAGACGTTCACCACTATCTATATCAATCTATGATGAGTCTTGTGCAAGTGGGAGATTGAAAGATCCATATGCCCAAGAGTCACACCTCATGGACCATTTTTGAGGATTTTGATTTTTTTCTTATTTAGAAAAGTAGAAAATAATACTGTTCCCTCCAAACACCACCCCTCCAGCCCATCATCTACCACCTCATCCTCTAAATGCAGACCGCCACCGGTTTAGGATTTATTATTCATGGTATTATAATCCTAATGTTTGTATGTTATCCATATAAAGGATATAAATGATAATGTAACATCTAACTATTTGAAGGGAAAATTATTATCTTCTATACACCCACTAAGCTACCCTAACAACTTCCTAGAACACCTACAGGAAGAGAATTGCATTAAGCATTTAAAACTAATAGATAAGAACTATAGATATTCAATGCATGTAATCATCATAACCGACCCATGTTTTCGTCCACCAAAGCATTCCACCAATGCATGTAATCATCATAACCGACCCATGTTTTCTAATTTTCTAAATAAGGGTATTATTTTCTATTTTTGAACCACAGGGACCATTTTTGAAGGTTTTATCATCATCATTATCATCATCATCATCATCATCATCATCCTCATCGTCGTCGTCGTCGTCGCCGTCGTCGTCGTCGTCGTCGTCATCATCATCATCTGGTTAGTTAAAATATAAATCATATACATATATTAAATCCCCTAACTCTTATGAATAGTACCGTTTATCAATTTTAAACTTTCAGCACCATAATTTTAGAATTTGTCAAATTTCGTCCCTCTCACTCTGATTACCATAATTTTAGAATTTGTCAACTTTCGTCCCTCTCACTCGGCCTTTGTTATCATAATTTTAGAATTTGTCAACTTTAGTTCCTCTCACTCGGCCTCTGTATTAACGGACACGTCGTCCTTTGATCATCTTCTATATCCATTGCCTTCTCCACCAGCCAGATTTCTTTTTATCAGCCACCCGTTTCATAATTTATGCTTCCATGTTTTCTCCACCGTCCTTCCTCTTATCCTCTGCTTCACCAACAAATCGAAACCCAAAACAATCTCAATAACCCTCCAAAAACATCACCAGTCATCCAAAACAATCTCGATAATCCTTCAAAAATCACCTCCGATTGAGGAAACCTAATCCCAACTCCCACTTTATCTAACACAATCAGATTGGGATTGTTACCTCCATATACAATTAATCAGCGAGCGAAGCCAATGAAAATCTTGCACCTACATCTGTGCAAGTGACAAACGAACAACACTAGTGGAGAGCAATAACGAACCCCAAAATTTGAAATCGAAATCGAAAGAGGAGCAGAAACTGCACGAAATTCAGCGTCTGTTCTTCGGATATTTCTAAATTTTCCTGACAACTCTGGTATGCAATCACTAAGGAGTATAAGTTTTCCATTGTTTTTACCCTTTACGTTAGAAGGTATAGAAGGATATCATAAATAGTGGTATCTTTGGTGGTGGAATTGAAAAAATTCTGATTTGCACACCAATTGTTTGTTAATATGTCTCAGTGAACTTCAATTACTTGATTCCAAAATTGGTTGCTTACTCCAATGTAAGTTTCATTCAATTCATACTTTCTTCCATGAAATTCAATCATCACTTCAAATATCTTAACATCTTTCCTATAAATTTTTTTGTTTTATCTTACAATGTGCTTAGAAACCATCCTGATTCTCTCTAATCTGTGCTACACAACCTTTCTTTTTCTGTTTTGTATGAATTCAAGTGTGTGAAATGTGACCTTTTTACTTGATTAAGTTTCTGATGGATTTCTTGATGTTTCTTTTGTTTGTTGTTGTAGGTTATATCATTACAACAAGGCTCATGATCTGATCGTGTTGGTAAAACTGTGATTAAGGATTACTCAGTTGGTTCATACAAGTGTTATATTCCTTTTTATCTTTTCATCCAAGCCATAGGATAAAAAGAGAAGACGACATCAACAGAGCAGAAGAAAAAGATAAAAATATATTACCTATTTTATCAACCCTAAAACCTACTAATCGCATTCAGATTTAACATCAACCCTGATCAATTTATAATTCATTAAAATATGTAACTAAAACCATAAAAAATAATATGCTATTATTATTTTTGTTACCTCAATAACATGTCTTCCAGTCTCTTTGATACATTAATAAAACTTTCTATAACTTTTAAAAGACCTTGATCACCAATGGTTCTAGAAGTCTTACATGCATCACCAAGACCAAATTTAGCAACATAGTATGTGATTGTATCACAGTATTTAGTATCATCTTCTGAAATGAAAATATTTGGTGCAGATCGAAATAACATTTGCATAAGTTGTGTTGTTAAGATAAGTCTTCTTCTCTTTCTGGCAACAATTGAAGTTAAGATAAGTCTTCTTCTCTTTATGCCATGAAAGGTGTTCAAATGTAGAAACTTTTCTCTTTTTTTATTTTAAAACAACCAAATTCTTTTTAGCCACATCTAACTATTGCAAATAAATGGAAGATGAACGTGATGCAGATGATGAAATGGGCTGACTTTTATAATTCCCACAAGCAGACTGTATTGTCATATTCCACCTTTTCTTTCTTTATCATCCGAGGATCATAGTTCATTGGTGCATGTTAAAGAAAATAATACAAGATATAAATGCATTTGGAGAGAGAGGATGAAAATAAACTTATGGGTATGATAGTTATGACTTATGATGACTCACATTCAAAGAAGAGAAAACCGAAAAAAAAAATTATAGAACATTTACCAACATCAACAATAACTATACATGCCTACGAACAAACCCCACTTCAGTGGATAAGATGGTTGCGCTCCAGTTCACTCAAGAATGGGACAGCAGTGGTCTGCCGACAAGCTCATTCTGATCGTGGACACACTTGGACGCAGTACAATGGAATCCTGAAGCACCACCACGAACACTACCATGCGTCCGCCTACGGTGCGGTAAGGCACCACCCTGTTGTCCCAGCAGCCAACTCTAGCCCTTAAAGAGTCGGTTACAATTATTATTGCAATCGTATGATTGCAGTACGACAAACTATATTTACATTTTAGACCCCTAGACTATGGAGGGTCTTACATACTTTATGTCTATATTACTTTATATCACATCACATTGTTACGAATATAATTCGTAACCTACCAACACTTTTTAATAATTACAAACCTACCGACACTTTATTACCTTACAAATAAGAATTGTAATTATTTGTAATGTAATAAAGTGTCGGTAGGTTTGTAATTATAAAAAAGTGTCGGTAGGTTACAGATTATATTCGTAACAATATGATGTGATATAAAGTAGTATAGTGACATAAAGTATGTAAGACCCTCCATAGTCTAGGGGTCTAAAATATAAATATAGTTTGTCGTATTATGATACGATTACAATAATAATTGTAACCGGCTTTTTAAGGGCCTATAAATAAGGCTTTGCCCATACGAAATAAAACAGGAGTTATTTGTGTGTTTAAGACTTGAGTTAACTCTCAATGTTTTTCTCTGTTGAAATAGATTTCTATTTCTGAATAGCAGAGTCCTCTATCCAAAACCATCCATATAATCATCCATATAATCAAAACAAGATCATCATCAAGATCATTCCGACGCATCGTTCAAGTATAACGTTTCGATCCATCCTAATTTTTATTAATGTCATCGTAATGAAGAAAATTTGGTATCAAAATTTCTTTTGAATTTAAAAGTAGATTCTAACATATCACTAATTAATACTATATCTAATATTAAAGCAATACATATAGTAGATAATAGTATAAGATGGCAACAAGAACAAATAAAAAGTATTGAAGATAAGATAACAAAACTAATTTGTTAAATATGTCTTAAGAAATAAAAAATTCATCAATAATTATTAATAACAAAAAAAATGAATCTGGATATACTTTTGATGCTCTAATAAATAAAAATAATATTAATAAAAATGCTATACGAAAAAAAATTACATTATCAGAAAAACATAATTTTAAATATCACACGTTAAAAAACTTCTTTTCTAGAAAAAATACTATATATTATGGAAAAATTATAGGAGTTATTTGTGTGTTTAAGACTTGAGTTAACTCTCAATGTTCTTCTCTGTTGAAATAGATTTCTATTTCTGAATAGCAGAGTCCTCTATCCAAAACCATCCATATAATCATCGTCAAGATCATCCCGATGCATCGTACAAGTATAACGTTCTGATCCATATTAATTTTTATTAATGTCATTGTATACCAAATTTTCTTCATACAATGACATTAATAAAAATTAGGATGAATCGGAATGTTATACCTGAACGATGTGTCAGGATGATCTTGACGATGATTATATGGATGGTTTTGGATAGAGGAATCTGCTATTCAGAAATAGAAATCTATTTCAACAGAGAAGAACATTGAGAGTTAACTCAAGTCTTAAACACACAAATAACTCCTAGAAAATTTGATACAAAATTTTCTTCATACGATGACATTAATAAAAATTAGGATGGATCGGAACGTTATACCTGAACGATGCGTCGGGATGATCTTGACGATGATTATATGGATGGTTTTGGATAGAGGACTCTGCTATCCAGGAATAGAAATCTATTTCAACATAGCAGAACATTGAGAGTTAACTCAAGTCTTAAACACACAAATAACTCTTGCTTTATTTCGTATGGGCAAAGCCCTATTTATAGGCCCTTAAAGAGCGGGTTACAATTATTATTTCAATCGTATGTAATACAACAAACTATATTTACATTTTAGACCCCTAGACTATGGAGGGTCTTACATACTTTATGTCACTATACTACTTTATATCACATCACAATGTTACGAATATAATTCGTAACCTACCGACACTTTTTAATAATTACAAACCTACCGACACTTTATTACATTTCAAATAATTACAATTCCTTCCACACTGAAAGGACACGTGTCTTCAATAATGTGCTCAATAATTTCTTTGTTCGTCATGGCTTACGTCAATCAGAAGGAATTGTAATTATTTGTAATGTAATAAAGTGTCGATATGTTTGTAATTATTAAAAAGTGTCAGTAGGTTACAAATTTTATTCGTAACAATGTGATGTGATATAAAGTAGTATAGTGACATACATTGTCTAGGGGTCTAAAATGTAAATATAGTTTGTCGCAGATATTGGTGATTGCTTTTAATATTAAACGTATGATAATGATGATGTATGACAAATAACAATGAGAATTCATAAAAAGAACGATACCTTGCTACCTAAACGATGCGTCGGGATGATCTTGACGATGATTATATGGATGGTTTTGGATAGAGGTCTCAGAATTGCTCTCGCCCGGACACGCTTAACTGCAGAGTTCTTATGGGATATGCTGCCCTCACGGCTTTAAAACGCGTTGTGATAAGGAAGGTATCCCCACTCCTTATAAGGAATGTTTAGTTCTCCTTCCAAGCCGATGTGCGATCAGGTGCAACCCACCTGCACCCCCCATTATAGGATTTGACGCCCTCGTCAAACACATCGACCCTAAACCCTGTTGTGCCAGCAGCCAACTCTAGCGTGTCAACTTAGTTATCCTCATCAAGCCACTTACTTGATGTCTAGCTTCCCAACCGGCACACGGTTCCTTTCCCCCATATCAATGAAGAAGGGAGAAGTCACTTGATTCTTCCGAAGAACCGGAAGCGAAGCGCTATGCCGGGCGGGGGGAAGAAACGGTTCCGAAGAAAGAAATTTGGGTTCCCAATGCTTCTCCACGCTCAATGAGATGCGCCAACCTCGGGATGTTTTACTCCTAACCCCACAAGGTTCCGAGACGGAGCTTAACCTGAGTCTCGGTTAAGAACGGCGATGACCTATGTTTCACACGGCGCACGATTCCATGGATAGTTTCATTCGAGATCGTGATGGAGGACATAGCTTACGATCATCGATAATTACATGGAAAAATAAAACATATTTAACAAAATGAAAACATATAATTTAATAAAAACAGTTATCAAATTCAAAGAAAAAATGTTGAATTATTTCATAATAATCACATGTAAGAAAAATAAAAACATACTTAAGAAAACAGTTATCAAATTCAAAGAAAAAATGTTGAATTGTTTCATATAATTTAATAATTTGAAAATTAAATTATGTTAAATATATTTTAGAACAAAAAATTAAGGTGACATTTTGATTTAAAAAAAGAAAAAAGAAAAAAAGTAGGTACAATGTATAAGAATAGTAGTGTGTTATTCGAACTTTCGGTAATGATAAAATTGCCATAAGATTTTGTCTAATATTTTGTGATCTATAAAATCTTTACATATAATTCCCAATATACAACAATCTACTTCGTTAAATTGTTTATAATAGCATCTCACTTTCGTTTTATCTTATCACAACATTGTACTTTCAAAAACTATTTGACCAATTATAACTATTTGACCAATTATAGTAATGCAATGGTAAATCGAAAGCAACTTTCACTCTTATAATTTGGTTGAGTTTTTCAAATGTACATAAAAGAACAATTGAAAGTACAACATTATAATTGGATATAAATTGTAATAGAAAGAAATGAAAATAATTGAAAATTGTACATAATTGAAAATAACAAATATTGTAATAGAAAGAAATGAAAATAACAAATATATAAATAATTGAAAATTGTAATTGAAAATTGTACATAAAATAACAAATATATAAATAATTGAAAATTGTAATAGAAAGAAATGAAAATAAGATGATATAATTATAATTATAATACACAAATAAATAAAATTACGTTGCCAATTTCAGTAGGACAGTCTACGATAGTGCCCCATGTTGTCAATTTTCTCATTGAAAATAACAGCTTTTTGCATGTGCCCACTTCTGTTTCCAGCTAAGTTCATGTCTAGAACCAAATGACTTCTTGTGTCTCCCTCCAACACTTTAAGTACCTACCAATTTTAACATCAACAAAAATGTTATTTCAATATATAATTAAAATCACAAAAGATACATATCAATGAAAGTAGTGTAAAAAAATGGTCCTTGTATTTTCTGATTTTTACATGTTTAGTTTAAAATTGTAATTTTTTTTTCCAGTTTTGGTCCTTTTCAAGGTTTCCTATCATTTTTGGTCCCTGTCCCTTTTGATTTTCCGTGTTTATTCCAAGACTTAAACCTTCTTTCAGTTTTGGTTATTTTTCGAGGTTCCATATCAATTTTATTGCCCATGCTTTCTAATTTTTATTGCATTTTGTCTAAAGTTTGAACCTTTTTTTTTTTTTTGGTCCTTTTGTCAAGGTTTCGCATCGATTTCAGTCCCGGTGCCTTCTGAAATTTATCTTGTTTAGTCCAAAACTGATTTTGTTTTTCAATTTTGGTCCTTTTTCAAGCATTCATATCGATTTTGGTCCCTAAGACTGTCTGATTTTCACCCTTATTTTTAAAGTTCCATATCGATTCTTGTCCTTATTTCAAGGTTGCGAGGACCAAAATCGATGAAACAATGAAATAAGGACCAAAATCAATATAAAACCTTGAAATAAGAACCAAATCGAAGAATTTTCAATTTTGGACTAGACATGGTAAAACTCAAAAACCAAAGGGACCATTTTCATAATTTACTCTACAATAACATGTAACAACTACAGTAAAAATATATAAGAAAAAAAAAAAAAAAAACCTTTGACATGGAGGGTCTAGATTCTGGATTTTTTTGAAGACACAAGGAGGCAGCATGACCAATCGCATGCAATTCAGGAGGAAAATTTGAAGGTTGATAAGAGCCTAAACGCGTGTCAACCAATTTATGCTTATAAGCTAAAAGATGTACAAATTCCATTTCTTGTGACGCATAAATATCATGCCAAAAATCACGTGCTTTGTAACATTGTAGTTCACTTATTCTTATACCCGTGATTAGCTCTAGTAATACTAATCCAAATGCGTATATATCAACTTTTTCTGTTATTGGTTCTCCATTGAAGTATTCTGGTGCTAAATACCTACAATATAGCCATTATTT